TTCCCTTCTATCAAATGGAGTCATAAACTTCTTGCGGTGTGTGGCAAATTAAACCCATTTTCACGCGGCCTTTGATTTCTTCTAATATGTACGTAATTACCTTTTGAAAGTGTGTTGTGTTTGCTCTTACACCTACAGCTTACCCCCAAATAGCAGATTTCTTTAATATATTTGACAGTTCTTACAGTCCTCTCCAAATCTAAATAGTGATTTGGATACTACCCAGGTCACTCACTGGATCCGATGAGAGTGTATTATCTTTGATGCTATTAATTGTATGTGTTCCGTGTATGTTTTAAAATATTTCTTAGAGTGCAAAAAAGGCCTTCATTTTGGAGGAGGCTCTTAAAATATATTTCTATACTTCCTTTTCTTGGCTTGAGATTCCATTTTATGGCATTGAATACAATGCCCTTTTTCATGAATTCCTCTTATTTTAATACACGGGGTAAGGCTAAAAGCAAGAAAAAAAAAAAACCAAAAGATTTGAATTCTCCTGTGTGTGATACTATGTGTGAGAGAGAGACTTGTTTGGTTTTTGTTGACTTTGGGACCTAAATGAAAGGACCTAAGTTATTTCTTCAAATATAATGATTTGAAGCCTGAAGACTGGATTCCTTGTGACATTTTCTTGACTGTTCCCCTAACTCCTAATGGACTCTGATGAGCTTAGTAAGAAGTATGTGCCAAAGCAGGTTCAGAGGGCTTTTTGGTCCCACTTCTATCTGCAGTCAAACTACCAGGTGACATTTCGGGTGATTGTCTTTTCCGAAGGAGTGAATCGGCTTCTTTGAGCAGTCTTCCCTTGAGGTCAAAGAAGTAAATCTCAGTTATGGGAAGTACTAAGCACTTGTTTGCAAATTTTTAAATTTCAGTTTTGCATTTGAGGTGTTCATTTTTAACACAAAGGATCTTTCGATCTAAAGATCCCCATAAATATGCAGCACCTATACCACTGGATAGGGCAGTGATATCAAACTGGAAAGCAAACAGTAATTGAGTTTAAAATCAAGGCACATCCATGGAGTACTTACTTCACCTTCAGAGTTAGTGACCTATTAAAATCAAGGCACATCCATGGAGTACTTACTTCACCTTCAGAGTTAGTGACCTCTGATAAGCCATCATAATACCTGCTCGTGTGTGGTCACCTGAAGGTTTAGCAACCTGTGATGAGCTGTCATAATCCCTGAAGGTGACCTGTGTGGTCACCTGAAGCCCAGAGAATAGAGATTGTGTGTTGTGTGGGAAATGATAGAATCATCACAGAAGCAAAAAAAAAGTTACATAATACACGAAACATAGAAAAATGCGTTCTCCAAAACTATTTGTACTGTTTGGTTCTCTCCCTTCAGATGATCACTCTTAAGCATTTTGAGTCACTGGCATGTGATACAAGGCTACCCTTGTAATACTTTTCCTTAAATCATTTTCTCTGGTTCCAACACGTCAAGTCACAGGCAACTCATAAATCTTTAAATATATTTTTTTCTATTCTACTAGTTAGTATTGAGGATTCATGGAGATTATTTATTTTATTAAAATAATTGTCATCCAAATAAGTAATAAAATAATCCTTGGTCTAGTACCAAACTAGACATTATACAAATTGCATTAGCCATGACCATGGTGTCCTCACATCAAATACAGAAATGTAAAGAAACATTTTTAAAGGAGAAATAATATAACTTGATCATTATTAGAAGTATGACTGAGTAATAATTGTGAGCCTAAATGTTTACTCCTACATAAAAGGAGGGAGGCTTACCACACTCAAAGTGCAAATCTGGTTATGATTTTATATTCCAAAGATTGTCCGCCTACTCCAGCAAACTAATTTTAGTTCTGACAAGGGCTCTAATGGAACAGAGCATGTCCCTGTCTCTCACCTTCCTTTCTGAGGAGGTCCACCTCCTACCTGGTGCCTCCTTAACAGGTTTGGGTTCTATGGCACACTTGGGAAATGGCAGCTTGGGGTCAACTCAGAAGTGCCTTGCCCTTCCCTTCCCCTCACACATGCACAAAAGAAGTGAGGCTGAAATTTGCTGTGTTGCATATAAATGGCTATAAACCCCAGAAATGAATCAGATGCTGGCTAGATGGCTGGGTGGATGGGTAGGTGGGTGAATGGATGGGTGGGTGGGTGGATGGAGGAGTGGGTGGATGGATATCCAGGATGGGTGTATGGATGGATGGATGGATGGATAGAGAAAGGGAGGATAAAAGAAAAAGTGAGAGAGTCAGATGGAGGAAAGGAGAGGAAGGAAGGAGGGCTAGAGGAAAGTGAGAGAAGAGAGAGAGAGCAAGTGAAGGAATGATACAAGAGACTTGAAAAAACATTCAAGGCTTCCTTTTGAGTCAAGTCAGTATTTTTGCCACATTTTCCCCAATACCACATTTTAAATCCATCTGATTTTCCCATGAAAGCAATGTTTCCTACTCTTGTAAAAATAAAAGCCAAGTTCACAAGATGAAATAACACAAGCATTCTTAAGAAGGAAGCCTACTTTTACAAGCAGCAAATGTTAAGGATGAAAACATAGTTTATATGGTGTCATGAATCTGACAGTATAATTTGCCTCAATCTGCCTCATATAAAAATATGATAATAACACAATAGCTTAGCAAGCATGAATTAAGCACTTATTGCAAGACAAGTACTCTGTATTAAACGCTGAATTCTCGCAGCCATCCTATGGGGTAATTATTATCATTGGCCACTAAAGACCAGATGGATGAAGGCATTTATTGTAGCCTCCTTTGATTTTTATTGGAGATGCGGTTATTCCAATAGCTGCAACCTGTTTTTAATAGCCTTTCATTTTTCTTCTTTTTTCTTTCTCTCCTTTCCTCCTTCTCTTCCACCAAACACGAATAGATCTATGATGGCAGACACTGACTTGGGACCCAGTTGTGGAGGCACAATGATAAATCTTTGACCATCTTTTAAATTAATTTTCTTTTCTTGCAATTACCAGGGTTCATTTTAGAATCCTTTGCCAGAAGAACTCATGCCATGAAATGTAAACAAATAGCAGGGCGTATATCTCAGTGTTAATTAAGTAGGCATTGATCAGAGGTTCGCAGTTCAGACTTTGAGGTCAGACTGATTGTATTTGAGTCTAGTTCTATCTTAACAGCTTTGCAAACTTAGCACATTTCTTAGCACATCCCTGTTTCCTCCTCTGTAAAATCCAGATAATAATGTCGACCTCTTAGAGTTGTCGATTTCATACTTACAAAGCAATCCTAATACATCTGATGCACTCTAAGTAAATTTTTAGATAATGAATTACTCTTAAAATGTTCTATTCTTTCACTATTGAATTTCTATGTAAGGAAGCCATTAGAATTTTGAGCTTTATTAGATGTGGAGAAGGATTACTGAACACCAACAGTGGGTCTCAAGCAACGAATAAACAACAGCCACCAAAATGCAAAGGATGGATAGGAAGTGTGTTAGAAGGTCACGTTGCTCCACTGTGTCGGGAATTCCTTAGTTCATGTGGACCCCACGTTCTCATAGGCCGCCATGATTTTTTATTATTAAGAAAATTTTTTTTTTTTTTTTTTTTTTT